GACATGACCACTTCAGACCATCAGTGTGTGTCTGTGTGTGTGTGTGTGTGTGTGTGTGTGTGTGTAAAGGCTGTATTTACACTGACCTTGTTCCTCTGCATTGTAAACATAAAGATCCTAAAGCTTGTATCACCTCGTTGACCAACCTTTTTCCACAACAGAGGTAATTCTGATGTTTTTCAGTAGTCTAAGAATTCACATTCACATATTTTGCTGCTGGTAAAAGTTGCAGTATCATTTCATAGAAAAGGCATGTATTTAAAACTTTACTTAAACGACCAGTGAGTAGGATTTAGTGGCAATGTATGTATCCTTCATCACTGTTGACACTAATTACATTTAGACTACTGTATGCTGGGTATCATAATACATGGTAATATATTAGCACCAGCATCTGCAAGTAAGTGGTAACTAAAGCTTTAAAATAGATTAGTAGTAGTAGTAGTAGTAGTAGTAGTAGTGGAGTAAAAGGTCTGATATTAAAATGTACAACACACAAGGAAAGTACAAGTACTGCAGGAGTTGAGTAAATGTTATTCCACCACTGGCTAGAAAAAGGAGCCAACATAAAGAGGAATTATAGCATTTCCTTATATGGATGTGGATATAGGTTTGTGTTCAAAATTAAGGTGAAGCAGAACAGAGTTAGGGTGTAAAGAGCGGCAAAGACCCTCACATCATGTGTTCTCTGATAACCTGATTAATGTCCACAGACAGACGCTCATCCATCACTGAGTCAGAGCTCTGGCTCCTGGCCTCACTCCCGGACTCAAGCTGGAGGTTGCAGAGGGCGTTGGCCCAAGCGTCGTGTCCCGGCCTGACCCCAGCCTCTCTCTTTATTCTGGGTCAGATTTAGCATCGCTGTGTGCTGCTGGCGTCCAGCCCAGCTGCCCATGGTGCCTGGCCCTGCCTGCCGTTCACCTCCGTCGTCATCATCACTCAGTGCCAAGAGGAAACAGAGGCTGCTGCAGGAAACAGAAGCTCTGTGTGAGGACAAACACTGCAGTTCACATGGAGCCAACAGCACTGAGAGACGCACTGACTGAATCTGAATCAGATTTACATTTATAAAACATATCCTGATAATGATGGATGGTCATATAAACAATCTCAATGCTGCTTTTTCTCTTAAAATTTACGTTTTAAGTGAATCATTTCCACAAACCATGCTTTATTCAAACATTTAATTTAATAAAAGATGTTTTGTTTTTGATACAAAATAAGTACAGTATAAAGAAACCATAAATAAAGAAACCATCAGAGTGAATAATTAATGAAAGGATGTTTTGCTGCCTTTTCATCCTCACTAGACAGTGTTAGGGAACTATGGATTGGAGAAAGAATTATTCAAATCACTGTGTGCAGCTTTTAAGGTGAAATGTTTTCTTGCATGTTACTCAATGTATGAGTTGACGTCATGAATCAATCAACAGACCTTACATTTAATTTGTTTTAAGTAGCTGATTAGCATGATAAATGCATTAAAGGACCAGCGTGTAGGGATTTAGTGGAATCTAGTGGTGTAATTGTAGATTGCAACTCCCTCGCTTCACCCTTGCCTTCCAAATCTAGAGCAAGTGTTTGGTTTGTCTATTCTGGAAAAAAAACATAGTACATGCGTATTATATCCCATTTCTGTTAAATGCATCATGGTTTGAGATGCAATCCAGCAAGTTGTTGAAAAGGTGTAAATGCATCTGTCCCTCCAAGACGCATATGTAATCTTTACTCCTCCCAACTGTTACTACATCAGTAACCGATCACAGTAATGGCAGCTGAAGTTTCACTGAAATTATCCGTCTGGGTCAGCACAAAGAGTGGTGGTAGCGGGCTGACGTTGATTTGCATGTAGCCGGGGAATACCAAGACTGATTGCATCGCATGTAGATTAGATTTGTGATTTGGCCATCAAAGACAGACATGTATTTAAACCAATATCCTCATGAGTGAACTGGGCCTTTGTTGTGTCCAAGTCTGTTTTTCAATCAATTTGTGTTTCCTGTTATCCTAAATTAAAGCCAGGTTTACCCCAACCCCAACCATGAAAGGCAGCACTACAGGAAACATTATTCTCAGGGGAAACAGACTTTATCACAACACTTTCTGACTTCTTTTTGTAGATGCCATCACGTTACCAGATCTCAGCAAAAAGCTTGGCGACAACATCAGAAATGATGGACAAAACTACAAAGACACAAAGTTGTTCTAAACAGGAATCATTCTTTAAATTTATTGAAGCACAGGTCTGTAGAAAATACATGTCTGAGTGTAAAAAGATGTTGACAATTCAATAAATCCCAAAGCAAATGAAGCAATTATTGCAGCATGAGAGTGTCAGGCAGCTGGAGCAGAAACGTCCACACAGATCCACTTCTGGGGAAACCCTTCATCTGCCGGCGGGGCTTCCAGGTTTTACCATCGATGGCATACTCCAGAGTCATGCTCCTGTTGAGCGTGAACACAGAGTCGCTTCTCACCACCGCAGTGAACAGAGAACCTTTGCTGTTGGTGAAGTGTCCAGGCAGAGACGACCACTGGCCTGAGCTCAGATTATAGCAGTCCATCAGGCATCTTAGGAAGTCGTCCGAAGGCCCGTTTCTCATGACGTACAGGCTGTCCCTGTGGCCAACCATGCAGTGGCCGTAGCTCTGGTGTCTGATCAGTGTGCTAACGAGCTGCCATTTGTCTTTCCTTGGAACATACTCATAGATCTCTGAGGTCTCCATTGGCCTCCATAAGCACACAAATATCCGGCTCATGGTTTTGGTGCACGCTGCTCCTGCTGTTGGTCGAGGTAAGTGAGCGGCAAACTGCCACATTCCGGAAGTTATGTCGTATGTTTCCACAGATGACATCACTTTTCGATCATATTCTCCTCCAATGGCGTAAAGACGACCGTCTACACCTACAAGGCTGAGGTTGTACCGCAGCTGTGCGGGACTGGAGATCCTGCTCCAGCTGTTGTTGTCAACACTGTAGCAGAAACAAGAGTCCACAACTTGTTTATGAAGTCCATGAACTCCTCCGACTATGTAGAGTTTGTTATCTAAAACAGTCACTCCAGCCATGGATGTGCTGGCCTGTAGCGGAAGATCTGTTAATACTTTCCAATTATTGCCAGTTTCATCCAGATAGCAGACCGTCCTGGAGGCAGTGTGTAGAGTTTCATCCACACCGCAGGTCACATGGGCCCCCACGGCCACGAAAACACTCGGGGTCAAAGACTCCACGTAGGAGATCAGCTCTGATGGTAAGGTTTTCCTGACCTCTCCCTCCAGGTCGGCATACATGTTTCGGATAAACAGCGCAGCGGCGTGGTAAAGGTCCATGAGGCCGAAGGTTGAAGCGGTGTGATACATCAGCAAACAGTTGTCAGAGTCAATGATGTTGATGAGATGCTTAGTGAGCGCCGCCACCTGCAAGAAAGCGGCGCATTCGATTGCCTCAACAATGTCGTCGCCATCCAGGACGGGCATCTCACCTCGTAAAACCGCCAAGGCGATAAGGAAACCTCGAGCACGCAGGGACTTGAGGTGGATTTCTTCTTGCCAACACTCCTTCATCCCAGAGCGATACAGAGCTTGGAAATAGTCACAGCTCTGAACAAGTAACATCTTCTCCTCAGAGAAGTGAGTGTCTCCAACCACGACAGTTAATTTAGCTGAGACAAGTCCAGAGGCACAACATGGCAGATATTGTTCGCCTGCATCATCACAGCTGCTGCCCTCTAATTCACTGCTGTGAGCTGACATTACTATTTTCTGACAGTGACGCTCAGGAAAATATCTTGACATGAAAATGACATGAGAGGTTCAAGCGTTTCCAAAAGTGAAATGGAACTGGAGAGAGGTGACTCAGTACGAAGCAGCTTCACTCTTTGGGAAGGCTCAGTTGTTTCACAGCTTTAAAAATAGATGCAGCATAACATAGACGAGAACAAATGACCCGAGGCACATTCACGTTGTGGACAAGAGGGCAACAAGAGAACACAGGGTTTGTGATATGCTGCTGCAAACAGTCAACCAGTTCAGCCAACACACAAATTTTTGATTTGCAGAGAGTTATGAGATCTCCCCTGTTAAAGCATTTGCTTTTCCCAAAATACAATGGATGTGAAAAGAAGTTTGTGAAAAAGACAGCAGACTCTCTTTTCTGTCAATCTATTTCTTTACGTTCACTTACAGTGAGGGGGGAGGGGCTGACCTAGATTTAGTCTCAGTGGGGCAGTAATACAGCAGGTCATGTGACCCGCACATTGCCTTCTCAATCAAAACAATCCTACCGGCTCCAGCAGTTTGTGAGCAGACAGAGGGGATTGTGGGAACGTTGTGCTTCTGCTTTGATCTATCCGACCAGCTGCAGGTGCTCCATTCAGTTACAGTGCCACAGGACAAAATTATAAGATTGCACAGATGCACTGTAATACTGCAGGATGCTCTTTACACCAAATCAAAACACCTTATATTTTGTGGGAAAAAGGGAAGTACAGATGGTATTTTACGGTTATCTTTATCTCTATCTCTCAGAATAAAATAACAGACAGACAGCCAAACAGATCTAAAAGAGAATGAATATTGGACCAACACGACTAACAACAAACACAACTCCAAATGAAACATTATAACTCTGCAACTGCTGAATATGCAATAATAACATGTTTATGATATAAACTAAAAGGAGGAACATGGCAGTTCAACATGGTCTCCCTCTGTAGATATAAACGGCTCATTCTAAAGTAAGGAAAACACAACAATTATTATTTTCAGGTATACACTAATAAAAACATACCTATTAATA